TTCTACCAGGTGGCTCGCTTATTGACTTAGAATATGCCGATGACATTGTCCTACTTGGTGAAGACGCTGAAAAAATGCAGAGTCTTCTGACTACCCTAAGCAACAATGCAAGCATGTTCGGGATGCGGTTTTCCCCCTCGAAATGCAAAATGTTGCTTCAAGACTGGGTGTCATCGGCACCTGAACTAGTGATAGGGAGTGAAGTGGTCGAACGTGTAGACCGCTTCACTTATCTTGGGAGTCTCATCAGTGCTGATGGCCTGGTGACTGACGAAATCTCGGCACGGATACAGAAGGCTCGATTGGCTTTTGCCAACCTGCGTCACTTATGGCGTAGGCGAGATATCCGTTTGCTGACTAAAGGACGAGTGTACTGCGCAGTGGTTCGCTCTGTCTTACTTTATGGCTGTGAAACATGGCCAATGAGAGTAGAAGATACTCGACGGTTATTGGTTTTCGATCATAGGTGTCTTCGAAGCATTGCTCGTATATCGTGGGACACCCGAGTTAGCAACACTGTTATTAGGAAACGGGTACTAGGTAAGAATGGCAGATCAATCGATGAAGTGGTGAAACTTCATCGGTTGAGGTGGTTGGGACACGTGTTGCGTATGCCTAACCACCGACTGCCTCGTCGAGCTTTGTTTTGTGGTGTAGGAATAGGTTGGAAGAAAGCTAGGGGCGGTCAAACCAAAACATGGCATAAATCCATGAAGTCATTGACGAGTGGACTTAGCCATGTCGGTAATTGTCGACTACCTGGTTGGGGTCCGCGAGATGATAATAATCGATGGTTAGAGACCTTGAATGACATGGCTCAAAATCGTTCGCAATGGCGCCAGTGCATTTATTCTCTGTGTTCTCTCAAATCCTAATCTTCTGAGTTCTTCAACACCTCTAGCTTTTACTTTCTAAACTTATCTCATTGAATCACACTTCGTGAATAATATCTTCTAATTCTAACGTCTACGATTACTTCTAATACCTTTACTACCTCTTCTACTATTGGATTTGAATTGACAATTATATCTCTGTGCTGATGTGGTATGGCGACATGAACTGATGTACTTACGTACGAAGTTCTACGTTGCAACTGACTGACTGACTGAATCTTAATTTATTATTACTTAATAAATCAATAATAATAACATGAGTTAATCACAGATAAAAATGTTTTTTGTGTTATTCAGCACACTGAGTTAAAATTGTTAAGAGATATCATTAAGTTACAATTGGTTTTAATGCAATTAAAAAATTCAAATTTACATTACACATTTTTTGAAACCATGAATCGATCAATGTTAGACCACCAGCATTAGAAACCTGGAAGCACTGGACGATGGCCGTTTCGTCCTGGTATGGGACTCATCAGTGGCAGTGCACATCCATGATTCCTACACCTCGCAGGATTCGAACCCAGGACCTTCGGTATTGTAGGCGAACGCCCTGTAATGCAAATTACCTGTGCTCACTAGTGACTAGCTTCGTGAGGAATCTTCTCCGAGTTCTAGTGGGAAGACGTGACCACTGTGAAGTTCAACCTGTTCGGGTGTAGGCAGTGTCTACCGAAGACTGTATGAGGTTGCGCAACTCCGTGAATTTGATCAAGTTAGACATTAACACCCTTAGATACCGGCTCAGTGGTCTAACGGTTGGGGCGCTCGCGCAAAATACCGAAGGTCTTGGGTTCGAATCCTGCGAGGTGTAGGAATCATGGATGCGCGCGCTGCTGAGGAGTCCCAGACCAGGACTAAACGGCCGTCTTTCGGTGATTCCAAGTTTCTAATGGTGGTCTAACATTGATCGATTCATGGTTTCAAAAAAAAGATGTGTAACTTAACAATCTTCACAACCCTTGTAATGCAATTTTACATTAAACAGATGTTATATATGTAGCTGATATAGAACTTTATCAAACCAAACTTGCAACATAATCATTACATTGTAGTGTACTATTTAATGTTAGATAATTGGATAAAAATCAAGATGTGCAAAGTTCCGATATCGAGATTTCATACCAGTCTTTAAAGATGAACAAGATGTAACTAAGGTATTCAGAGAAACGAAGCTATTTGTGAAAATTCCAGTTTATATCATTGAATGCTAAGTTCAGAGACGTTACTAATGATTTATTGAAGCAGTAATTAAGTTTCTGTAGCATTGAGTAGTAGCATAGTAATGAATAAAGGATTTGAGTAAAAACTAGTATGTTACAAATTTGAACACTGTTTTACTTTTGCAGACCGTAGCTGCTACCTTGACATGGTGGTCGAGTTTGCCTATTGTGATGACCCAACCCAGTTATATTGGCTGAAACATATGTAGGTTTTATCATGCTAGGCAGGACGATTGGAGAACGGTAAGATTAAAAAGACTAAATGGAGCAACTCAACATCTGAGGACAAAGTCGTACTGCTGACTGCAGAGGGGTGTGACAGCAGTAAGAAGTCCGTCGAACAACCAGCGTCTGCAGAGATGCTACCTTCTCACAAGGAAGGGGTCGGAAAAGCTCGACACCAAAAGTGTCACACCGTGAGGATTTCCGCCTTCGGGGATAAAAGCCACTTAAAGAGAGGAGATAACACTTCCGAAAAATCCCATAAAAGTGCTGTAAGTGATCCGCCTGAAGCAGTTCTCCGTCAGGTTCTTCGCGGTCAGGCTCCCGGGTTGCTCTGACCAACGCGAACCCAATTTCCTTTCCAGGCTCCTCAAGAAACACTTCCACGGTGTGGGCAGTAGTAACTGACTGTTTTACTTCATTTTGGTTAAACCAATCGAATCGTATCAATAGTTACTGCATAATGGTGTCGTAAAACAGAGCCTATAAACCTGTACTTTAAAAGTGAATTCATTTTAGTCGATAACATGGATGACTCAGGCGTCCTATCGATTACTTCCAATCATTTAACATTGAAAGATAAAAAATGTTTTCATTTAATGATAAAGTGACGTAATAGTCAGACGAAATCTATTTGCTTCCAGATAACATATATATAAGCTGGTTATTTCGACATCAGACGAACTTTCTAGCTACGCAAAAAACTGATCATCAGTTAGACGTAATCTAATATCAAAATTACGCAACAAATTACAGGTTTATGTGACGAGCTTTGAAACACAGGTGATTATCTGAAGGCTATTGATACGACCACCAACTGACGAACTAGACAGGAGGCTAGAGGCGGCCAAACAAACATCGTACAAATCCATGAAGTCATTAATAACTGGAATGAACCATGCCACTATGTGTACACTACTTTGTTGGGGTCCGTGAAACAATAGTGACCTATAACTAGAGACTTTGAATGAAATGGATGAAAATTATTTGCAATGACGCAGATGCATCCACTCTTTGTGTTCCCGCAAATCTTAATTCTTCATCCTCTTTTACGTTTATTTCACTGGATTATACTAATTGAAAAATTTCTCTGATCCCTAATCTCCATTGGCGCTAATACTTCTACTACCTCTACTACAATGGGATTTGAACTGACAGTTCGATTTCGATGTGCTAATGTGGTACGGCCACTTGAGCTGACGTACGTACGTACTGACTCAGACAAGAACATCCATAACAATTTGGGTTTCAACATGCAAACTATTGCTTAGAAATTAAACTGTCACATCTGTAGAAACTCTTTGTGATACTGCATAATGCATTCAACTGTTCCACGGGTGTAGTAATTGAGAAAATTATGATCTTGTTACATTTGCATCTAGTTATATAGGTACAGGCGACACAACTCGTCCTGAACACTGAATATATCATACGAAAAATGTTGAACTAGTAGTACTTTCCATTATTATTCAAAGGAGTATAAAATGGCACACTATGAAAATCAAGCTTCATTACAAGGCAAACCCTAACTTGGAATCTTCAAGGAGGGAGAGAGACCGGCCTAAACAACACGTTACGCTGAGAATAGGAAGTTAATATATCAAAAGAATGAATGGTACTTGGAAACAACTGGAAGAGAGGTTTCAGAAGGAAGTTGATTGCAAATCCCTAGTCAGCGGTCCATGTCTCATGAAGCGTGACAAGTGTAAATAAAATGAGACAAATGAGACTGGGTTAAGTTAAAACTTACAGATCATTCATTAATTTGCGACTCGACTTAGTTTTTCATGCGAAAATCAGTCAGTCAGTGGCAACGTAGAATTTCGTACGTGTGTACATAAGTTCATGTTGCCATACCACATGAACACAGAGACACAAATGTCAAATCAAATCCCATAGTGATAAAGATAGTAGAGGTATTAATGGTAATGAAGAAGACTTGGGTTCGAAGATATTATTCAAGAAGTATAATTCGGTGAGATAAGGTTAGAAAGACAATGGTAGAGGTGTTGACCAATCCAGAAGATTAGGAGTTGAGAGAACACAAAGAATAAATGTACCTGTGCCATTGTAAACGATTCTGAGCCATGTCGTTAAAGGTCTCTAACCATTACTGACTTTCATCTCGCGGACCCCAGACAGGTAGTCTACATCTACCAACATGACTCAGTCCACTTGTCAGTGACATCATGGATTTCTGCCATGTTTTGGTTTGGCCGCCCCTAGCTTTCTTCCAATCTACTCGTAAACTGCAAAACATAGCTCGTCGAGGCAGTCGGTGGTTAGCCATACGTAACACATGTCCCAACCACCTCAACTGATGAAGTTTCACCACTTCATCTATTGATTTGCCATCCTTACCTAGTACTCGTTTCCTAAAAACTGCACTACTTACTCGGTTGTCCCACGATATACGAGCAATGCTTCGAAGACACCTATGATCGAAAGCCAATAACCTACGAATATCTTCTACTCTCACTGGTCATGTTTCACAGCGAAAATGAATTCGACTTAATTTTATGCCTATAAGGTTGAATTAGAAAGAAACCAGTAAGTCAGTTGTTTTTTTTTCGCAAGTATGATTATATGAAAACTTTTGATTACATTCACTATCGTAACATTTGATGAATTATAGTTAATGCTTTTTTTATTTTATTTTCAGACATCAAACTACAAAAAATAAACATACAAAGACCCAAATCACTACCAAAACAGAAGTGAAGCAACCTTCACATCCGTTAGTGAGTCTAAAAGACGCTGAAAATGCCAGATATATTTGGTTAACAAGAAAAACACAACGAAGTACACCAGTTTTAAACCAAGAACGACAATATGGTCGAGTCAATTTGATTTCCACACATCGAGGAGAATCTCCACCTAGGAGGGGTAAAAGTGAAACTTCAAGCGCCAGAGCAGAACATAGAGGAGGATTATTTAATGTACATATGAATAATAGAACTAAAGCACCATATTACATTATACATCCTGAATGGTTAAGTGAGACGATAACAATACGACAACTTGGCTTATCACCTAGACCAACTCCATTGCCAATAACCAATGGTCTAAACGATTACCAAACGAAAAAACGCAGTCATACAACAAATTCCCTTTGCCCAGAATCACCAAGTAAAAATATGTATACAGATTCGTTGAGTTTAGGACAATCATCTTTCTATCGTTGTAGAAGTTTACCACCGAAATCAATAAACCCAATAACATGGGATTATTAAGAAAATAATTTTTTTTTTAAGAACAATGAAATAATAATTATAGACATTATTTTATTTCAGAAATAAAGCTTACAAAAAAAGAACAGAAATCGAATTCATCATTAAAAAAATATAGTCATTTATTTTAAAGGTTGTTGAATGATACGTTTGGTATTATCGTTATGAGGTTTAGTAACTTTTGGTAATGGTTTATCTTGTTGAGATTTAACACATCTATCGTGAAATTCAAGTTCTTCCTTTAAAAATAAAAAGAATAAACAAAAATATTCAAGGTTTCCGTAATGTAAGTTAGGTCAATACATATGAGAACTGTTAGGATATTCATCCAATATCCTAAGAGAACTATTGGTCAATTCTTATTGGCTAATTCCTACTGGTCAATTTTAATGGCCGTCTTGATTATCAATGTCACTTCGAATGTTTTTTTCCTATTAGTCACCCTAACTGTCAATGTCACAAACTTCGATGCTGTTCCCTATTCGACCTAAATACGCATTATCTCTAACGTTTTACGGACCCGGACCCCTAGTTCGGGATCCTGATTCTCTTCTGGACTCGGACCTCGTGCTTTCTGGGTGTTTGAAGAATACAGGCTTTACTTTATATCAAGTCTCCTTCTCTTTTATTCAATGGGGGTTGGGACACTCGGATTAGAGTAGCATGACGTGTCGCCGGATCCTCGCCCTCGTTTTCCGACTAAGGTAAACTCGTAATAGTTGAAGCATATCAAATTGACATGTTTACGTGCATTCGTAACAAAAACAATATTATTTGCGGTAAGATCTTGATATGTTACTCTAGCGTACGGTAATATTAATAAGCATATGTGAAAATATTAAAACAATCAAGACAGCTTATAACTCATTGGTTACAATAAAATAGAGTACGTGACTAAATATAGTAAGTAAACAAAGATATAAACTGATAGAGTATGCTAGTTATGTTCAGGAACGAAAAATCACGGTAGTATCGTATAATCATTAATATATAGCGTTGACTGAACTATTAAGAATAAGTTAATTCTAAAAAAGTTACTAATTAAATATCATTTTACCCCTACATAATGCATTAACTGAGTACATATTACACCTGTTCAAAAACTGAAAACGCACATCCTAGTATTGCAACTACCATTTATCAATACAATTATTCATAACAAAAAGTAATGAGAGATTAAAGCATTAGTTGGAGAAAAACAATGTTTCTTTCATTCCTTCGCCATGACGGGCCGCTGGTGCAAAAGTTTCAAGTCCGTGAAACGTTATTTCTGATATCCAGAAATCCGCCTCTAAACTAAACTATAAGTTGGAGCTTTCAATGTCCAGTCATTGTGCCAATTAGGACAACAATTTCCCTTAGCTAGAACTTTGGAATCTTGTGTCATCGATGTATGCTGCGTATCCGAAATGCGCATACAAGATTCGAGTAGTATCATTCATTTGACCTCTTCCAGTCAAAATAAAGAACCATCTCGACTTATGCATTGTGTATCTGGTAGACCCACTGACGCCTCGTGTGGCCTTGTTGGTGCAGGTATAGGATTGTGTCCTAGGGCAGAACTAGCTCTCTTAGACTGGATCCCAGTAGATAGTGGCTTGTGAGCTGTCCGACTAAACGGGACAGTAGGAATTCTTCTTAGTCACAACTGCCCACGCTTTCATCGACTGAAGCTCAGAAGAGGTAAGTGATGAGTTTTACAGAAAGCTTTCGGACCTCCTCCAAAAACTTAGGCACTTTAATGTAGTAATAGTGACTGGTGATTTGTTGCTCAAGTAGGTAAACTAAGCGAAAAGACGCCTGGGTGGATCTTATGGTATCGTGGCTCAAAGAACAGATAATTGCATAGCACAGCATAGCTAAGAGTATATTTCAGGGAAAACTAGAAAATCAGTTAGGCAGCCACGTAAGTGACGCCCATTCTGAGAAAGCTTGGAATGGTAATCGAAAAACCGTGGAAATAGCAGTGATATCTGCTAGTAAGACAAACCATGAGGTTAGAGAGAAACGATAGTTTTCGGCAGCATCTACTGAACTGATAAATGCTCGAAAACTCATCCCGTCTGGCTCTAAGTAGGAAGAGTGGACTCAGCTTAGGGGCAGGCTGATAAAAATCCTACGCAATGATCGTAAACAGTGGTGGGTAAGAGAAATGGAAAAGGCGGCGGCAATAGGTAACAGTAGACAACTATTCAGATTAATCAAACAAACCGGAATTAAGAATTCGACTGTTAGTGAGACGATCTAGGGGAGATCTGATCATGATTCATTCTCAATCCTGGACATTTGACCGATGGACAGAACACTTCAGGGATCAATTCAACTGGCCTTCAGCCACACTTCGCTTGCCCACGATCTCCAGTCAACCTGAATGGCGAATCAGTGTGGGGCCTTCGATTCTTTATGACGTTAAGAAAGCAATAGGAAATCTGAAGCGAGGGAGAGCGGATAGTCCTGATAGATTGACCCTGAGACTTTGAAGGATGGTTGTCCAGTTTAAGCAGTTAGATTGACTGAGAGCTTAGGTAGAATTTGGGAACTGAGCGTAACCCCATCCAACTGGTCGCAATCACTGGTTTTTCCAGTCTACAAAGTGAGAAAGTCCTCTTGTGACTATCACAGAAGGATTAGTTTGACAAATATAGTCTGGAATATTAGCCGAGAAAATACTTTGACTCCTAGCTAGGGTTCGTGAAGAGCAGACTCGAGAAAATTAGAGTGGGTTCAGACCTGGGCGTGGATGTATAGACCATATATTCACTCGTTAGGTCCTAGAACAAAGACACGTTCAGACGTCCGACAACAGTTTTATTCCTCAACCTTAAGGCGGCATTCGACTCTGTCAATCGTGGTTCTATGGCAGTGTATTTGAACACCACTGGTCGAGTGAGAGCTTATGGCAGACTGTCACCGGAATTCTTTAATTCAAGTGGTGTACGTCAAGTATGTCCACTCTCTCCATTCTCGTTTAACTTTGTCGTAGACATGCTTTTGGATTTAACATTATCCTCGTCAGATTTTTCAGTACACCTTTTACCAGGAGGATCGCTTATAAACCTAAATTATGCCGATGACATAGTCCTATTCAGTGAAGACGCTGACAAAATGCACAGTCTTCTGACTACCCTAAGCAACAATGCAAGCATGTTCGGGATGCGGTTCTCACCCTCGAAATACAAAATGTTGCTTCAAGATTGGGTTTCATGGGCACCTGAACTAGTGATAGGGAGTGAAGTAGTCGATTGTGTTGACCGCTTCACGTATCTGGGGAGTCTCATCAGCACTGATAGCCTGGTGATTGACGAAATCTCAGCTCGGATACAGAAAGCTCGACTGGCTTTTGCCAACCTGCGTCACTTATGGCGTAGGCGAGATATTCGTTTGCTGACTAAAGGACGAATGTACTGCGCAGCGGTTCGCTTCATTCTCCTATATGGATCCGAAACATGCCCGGTAAGAGTAGAAGATATTCGCAGGTTACTAGTATTCGATCACAGATGTCTTCGAAGCATTGCTCGTATATCGTGGGACACCCGAGTGAGCAATGCTGCCATTAGGCAGCGAGTACTAGGCAAGGATGGCAGATCAATAGACGAGGTATTGGAACTTCGTCTGTTGAAGTGGTTAGGACATGTGTTAGAATGCCCAAACACTGAATACCTCGACGAGATGTTTTGTGGTGTAGGAGTGGGTTGGATGGAAACTAGGGGCGGCTAAACCAAAACATGGCACAAATCTATAAAATCACAAGTGGACTGAGTCATGTTGGTAGATGTAGGCTACCTCGTTGGGGTCCACGAGACGATAGTAACCGATGGTTAGAGACCCTGAATGACATGGCTCAAAATCGTTAGCAGTGGCGAAGGTGCACCCACTCTGTGTATTCTCTCAAATCCCAATCTTCTAGATTCGTCAACACCTCTATTTTTGTCTTTCTACACCTATCCCACTGAATTATACTTCTTGAATAATACCTTCGGACCCTAATCCCCTCTATTACCAGTAGTACTCCTACTATCTCTACCACTATGGGATTAGAATTGACAGTTGCGTCTGTGTTAATGTAGTATGGCAACATGAACTGACGTACTTACGTATGAAGTTCTACGTTTCATCCGACTGACTGACTGGGAGTGTCTGTCATTAAAAGGTGTACCAAACAAGTACATTAAGCTTGCACAAGCTATCTACTCTACACCACGGAACAAAGGAGTTTATAGCGAACTGTCATCGGTACTGATTACGTCAAGTGGTGTTCGTCAGAGATAACACTTTCCTCGTCTGAATTTCCAGGAGTTGAACTTTTATCGAGAGTTCTACTTGGTGAAGACTCTGACAAAATGCAGTCTTGTGAACACCATAAGCAACAGTGAAGGCATGTTTGGGGTACGGTTCTCCCCATCGAAATGAGAAATGTTACTTCGGGATTGGCCTGCATCTGGACTTATGATAGGGAGTGAAGTAGTGTCGACAGTCAGTTACAACGTAGAACTTCGTACGTACATAAGTTCATGTTGCCATACCACATTAGCACAGAGACGCAAATGTCAAATCAAATCCCATAGTGATAAAGATAGTGGAGGTATTAATGGTAATGAAGAAGACTAGGGTTTGAAGATATTATTAAAGAAGTATAGTTCAGTACATTAGCACTGAGAAGCAAATGTCAGATCAAATCCCATAGTGTAAAAGATGCACCCGTTCATTGTGTTCCCTCAAATTCTAATCTGAATTCTACCGCACCTTTATCTTCCTCCTTTTACATTTATTTCACTGAATTATACCTCTTGAATGGTTTCTTCGATTCCTTATCTTCTCCCTTGCAGATAATATTTCTACAATCTTAATCAATATGGGATTTCATTTGACAGTTGTATCCCTGTGCTAATGTGGTACGGTAACTTGAACTTATGAGCGTAAGTTTTGCGTTGTGGATGACAAGTGAAATGGGAAAATTCTAGTTTATCAACGTGCCAGCGTGTTTTTCAGAATGTGTGTGACAGAAGATTTGAGGCTAGAAAAAGTGCATATTTCTTTACACTTTTGAGATTCGTCATAGATGTTGGGTTAGCCGTGTCGCGCGGTCCATAAGCATACCTCGGATATTTTACTAATGTCTAGAAACTGAATGGCGTTGTTTTGAAACGAAACGATTACAGCTTGAGGGGGGTCTGGACGGGAACGGTGTCGGGCTCGTCGACCAATGACCTACCATACACAGCAACATTTTTGTAGCGGAGCCACGTAACAATTTGATGCTGTTTTCACCTTATCGACTTACTGGCAACGAGGCGTCAGCCAAAAATATGACAAAAACTGCTAATCCACTACATAGTTCTCAATGACTATACATAACTCCAAGCAACTCCAAACAACGGAGTTGAATGGGGAAACTTAGGGGAAGAAACAATGTTCACCCTGAGCTGAGGAACAAGGCTATGGTTTGGATACTTTGTATCTTAAATTTAAATTTAGTCTACTGAAGTATTTCATCCTAAATTTTTTTACAAGGTTCGCCTATATTTCCCTTTTTTTGGTTTGTGCAGTACAAGACGAAATATGGGACAAAAAAATACAATTAACAAAATTTAGGAGACCCACCTTGGTAAGTAGCTCATGTGGCGAAAAATCTACGATGCTGAAAGAATGTTATGGGATTTAACAATAGCTTACTTAGAATTATACTCGGCTGCTTGGTGAGCCAATTCTGATTTAGACAACGCTTTTTCTTCGTGTTCTCTAGCATGTTTCACGATTCTCATTCCTCCAGCCTTGACTGAAGATCAAATTATGAGTGGCTAGATATATACACGAACCTGCTGGAGGGTGTGAAATATGTGAAGTGTCTGGAGATTCGTCCTCCATTGTTAGGACTCACGCTATTATAATCTCAATTTCGTTAATAGCGCCGTTCGTCACATTCACTATTAAACGGCTCGAACAGTTCAAACGAATGTGGAAGGAATAGGATGAATTTTCACTTAATAGACTTCCGTTTATAGTTTCAGTGGATCACTGACGTATTTATGTAGAGACCTAGGTGTATTTCATAAGAAAAAGAGAAGAATACTTTTATCGTCAATATCTTTATCCCTAACCAATATCCAATATCTTTTTCACGAGTTAGTGTAAACCAATTTGATTTCTTCGCGCTCGATTCTTGTTCTTTCGGTACGGTTCCAGGTGTTCGGTAATGTCCAATGGATGGAGGTCTAGCCACTCGACTGTCTAATTCTAGTCAGTCGGCAGTTGGTTGTGAGTTTGTATGTCTCGGGATTTGAATGAAACGTTTGTTTCAGGGCAGTAGGGCTTCTGGATACTAGCAGCCGTCACATTACCAAACCGGAGATCAGTTAGTTGCAATGTGGAGAGTAATAAGGGTAATAAGGATAAATTAAAATGATAATATGAGTAAAATTTCAGAACTGAGTAATATATAGATGAATTTAGTTTATTAATTGGTAGTGAAGATTGTGAGAGAGGACCGAAGTGTAAGCAAGGGAGAGGAATAGGCGAGATAGATTAATTGAGTGATCTGAGGAGATGGCAATGGTAACAACTAGCAGGTCTCAAGACATTCATCAGGCACAGCTTGTCCAAGAGGGAGATGATAGTCCGTATGTGAGTACATGATTATCAAGTCTCTTCTTAAAGCAGTCCACTGAGGGGGCTGTAACTACCTCGGCAGGGAGAGCATTCCAAGTTGTGACGACTCGCAATGAGAAAAAGTGTGCACGAATCTGAGTATTTGCTCTTTGATGTGCAATCTTTCGAGGATTGCCTCGAGGGGAGTGGTGGTGATGCATCGGAAAGATGCTCACATTGGGGTGGTTTGGCGTGTTTAATATGGTGTACGCCATAATCAGGTCACCTCTGATTCTCCTGTAGCTCAGTGGGAATAATCCCAAGAGCTGGAGTCTATCGTCGTACGGTTTATTTTTCAACCCTATCACCCATTTGGTTGCTCGTCTCTGCACTCGATCCAAGAGATTAATGTCTCTTTTAAGCAGAAGGGGTGCGATGACGTTGTGAACCTCCAAGTGTGGGCGCGCGTACGTCTTAAACAGGGTTAAAAATAATTTCGGGGTGATAGCACCAACCTGTCTTCGCATAAAGTGAAGAGTCGCATTTGCCTTGGCTGCATCCCCTACATAGTTCGGACTCGTGTGGAGGCTTTCTGTGGTTATTAAACCAAGATCGCACTCTGAGGAGACATTAGGGAGCGGACTACCATTGGGAGTGTAGGTGGTTTGCGTCATATCAGGCAGGAAATGCATGACGTGGCACCAACTGATTTCTTTGCACTTGCTACCCTGTCTAACCTGATTTTTCTGTAACTATTTCAGCTTAACGGAACTCAGAGATGAATCCTTCGGCTTCACGCTGGCACTATGGTGAGTAGCATTTTGTATGATCCAGTTCTTTCAAGTAACATCGTTACACGAAGTACGAATTCGTTGATCACAAAAATGGATTACCTCAGCTGTGGGAATCGAAGAAGCCACCACATCGACCCAGGAACTTCAGAAAACTTGCTTCAAAGCAGTACACCAATTCATTGGACCCACTAGCATCCCGTAAGAGTTGAACCACAGATGATAGAAAGTTCACTTACTTACTTACTTACCTACGCCTGTTACCCCAAATGTAGCATAGGCCGCCTACCAGTTTTCTCCAACCAACTCTGTCCTGGGCTTCCCTCTCCAGTTCTGTCCAATATTTGTTCATTCCTCTCATATCTTCCTCTATTTCTCGGCGTAATGTATTGTTTGGCCTTCCTCTTTTCCCTCTACCTTGAGGGTTCCATGTGACGGCTTGTCTCGTGACGCAGTTAGGTGCTTTTCGTAGTGTATGTCCTATCCACTTCCACCGATTCTTCCTGATTTCCTTCTCCACTGGAATCTGGTTTGTTTTCTCCCACAGTTTGTTGTAACTCCGCCAGTAGAACCTTCGGGGCTACTGCCGGTCCCAAGCCCGGATAAAGGAGGAGGGTTGGACATGGGGTTGGCGACCCCATTCCCTTGAAATCTCACTTGCCAAAAAAACGCTAACCAGAAAAAACAATTCAAACCATTTTAACTCTGCCCTGGGAGTTGGAAGAAGAATTATGACGTCTCGTTATGAAAGCCGAGTTCCCTCGGAAGTCACGGGGCTGATGCCTCTTCTGACAACCAGAGCAACCATTTTTTTAGGTACATGGAACGTTCGTACACTGTGGGAGACTGGAAGACTATTTCAAGTTGCGGCAGAAATGAAACGATACAACCTCGAGGTGCTTGGAATCAGTGAAACACATTGGACACAAGTAGGACAACTGAGACTAGCTTCAGGGGAACTGCTGTTATACTCTGGTCATGAAGAGGAAAACGCTTCACATACACAAGGAGTTGCACTGATGCTGTCCAAACATGCACAAAAGGCACTGATAGGATGGGAATCTCATGGGCCGAGGATCATTAAAGCATCCTTCAAAACAAAGAAACAGGACATTACAATGAACGTCATCCAATGTTATGCACCTACCAATGACTACAATGACGACGTTAAAGATCAATTCTACGAAAGGCTGCAGTCAATCGTTGAGAAATGTTCACCAAAGGATTTGACGATTCTTATGGGAGATCTGAATGCCAAGATTGGCATGGACAACACTGGATATGAAGACATCATGGGACGACATGGACTGGGAGAAAGGAACGAAAACGGTGAGAGATTTGCAAACCTATGTGCCTTCAACAAACTGGTCATCGGTGGCACAATATTCCCACACAAACGCATTCACAAAGCCACATGGATTTCACCGGATCACACTACTCAAAACCAAATTGATCATATCTGTATCAACAACAAGTTCAGAAGGACCATGGAGGATGTTAGAACCAAGAGAGGAGCTGATATAGCTTCAGATCACCACTTGCTGATTGCCAAAATGAGATTGAAGCTAAAGAAGCACTGGACAACGGGGCAGACAACATCACACAAGTTTAATACAGCCTTTCTTCGAGATACCGTAAAACTCGACGAATTCAAGATAGCCCTCACCAATAGGTTCCAGGCCTTTCAGGATCTACTCAATGGAGAGGAAGCAACATTGGAGAACAATTGGAAAGGGAAAGGCAATCACTTCAACATGTCACGAAGTTCTTGGTCACAAGAAGTACCATCACAAGGAATGGATCTCTGTTGATACTCTTGCAAAACTTGAGGAAAGGAGGAACAAGAAGGCAGCAGTGAATGTCAGTCGAACAAGAGCAGAGAAAGTTACCGCACAAGCTGCATACACAGAAGCAAACAGGGAAGTGAAGAAGAGCATCAGATCTGACAAACGAAAACATGTGGAAGATCTAGCAATGACGGCGGAAAAGGCTGCAAGAGAAGGAAACATGAGACAATTGTACGAAACAACAAAGAAGCTCGCCGGGAACTATCGTAAACCAGAACGACCAGTGAAAAGCAAGGAAGGGAAAATGATCAGCAACACTGAAAAACAGCGAAATAGGTGGGTGGAGCACTTTAAGGAACTATTGAATCGACCAGCTCCACTGAACACACCCAACATCGAAGCAGCATCCACGAATCTCCCAATTAATATTGGCGCACCCACGATTGAGGAGATCAGTATAGCCATCAGACAAATCAAGAGCGGCAAAGCAGCAGGACCAGACAACATTCCAGCAGAGGCAATGAAAGCAGATGTGGAAGCAACTGCGAAAATATTTCACATTCTCTTCAAGAAGATTTGGGATGAGGAACAAGTACCATCACATTGGAAAGAAGGATACCTCATCAAAATACCAAAGAAAGGCGATCTCAGCAAGTGTGAAAACTACAGAGGCATCACTCTTCTTTCAATACCAGGCAAAGTCTTCAACCGGGTATTGTTAAACAGAATAAAGGAATTCGTAGACCCCCAACTTCGAGATCAACAGGCTGGATTTCGTAAGGATCGATCGTGTACTGACCAAATTGCTACATTACGGATCATTGTGGAACAATCAATTGAATGGAACTCACCACTCTACATCAACTTCATCGACTACGAGAAAGCATTCGATAGCGTGGATAGGAAAACACTGTGGAGGCTTCTTCGACACTACGGTGTGCCTGAGTAAATAGTCAACATCATACGGAATTCTTATTATGGATTCAACTGCAAAATCGTGCACGGAGGTCAGCTGACAGACTCTTTCGAGGTGAAGACCGGTGTCAGGCAAGGTTGCTTACTCTCACCCTTTCTCTTTCTCCTGGTGATCGACTGGATTATGAAGACGTCAACACCTGGAGGGAATCACCGTATCAACTGGACAGTTAGGACGCAGCTGGACGATCTGGACTTCGCAGATGACTTGGCTCTTCTATCGCACACTCAACAACAAATGCAAGAGAAAACGACCAGTGTAGCAGCAGCCTCTGCAGCAGTAGGTCTCAACATACATAAAGGGAAAAGCAAAATTCTCCGATGAAACACAACATGCACCAACCAAATCACGCTTGATGGAGATGCTTTCGAGGACGCTAACAACTTTACATATCTGGGCAGCATCATCGACGAGAAAGGTGGATCGGATGCAGATGTGAGGGCGAGGATTGGCAAAGCGAGGGCTGCATTTCTACAGTTGAAAAATATCTGGAACTCCAAACAACTTTCAAACAAAACCAAAATCAGGATTTTCAATACAAATGTCAAGACAGTTCTACTGTATGGAGTGGAAACATGGAGAACTACCAAAGCCATCATCCAGAAGATAAAAGTGTAAATGTATTTCGACAGTGGCCGTCCCCATTGGTTCCAATAGAAGCACTCCTGTACGCTTTTCCTAGTCCCGGGTCCCAACCGATTCAAAAAAGGACAAAATTCTAGGAGA